AGTCGCCTTGGAGACTGTTGTTGTGATTTGTATTGATTTGGCAAATAAACTTTCAATACAATAAAAGAAAAGAAGGGGGGCTGCTGATATACCTCAACAGCCAACAGTTACACACAGTGCTATAGTGTTAGCTCCTGAGCTTTCTATCTGATTTCAGGCACTGCCAGTCAGCAAGCGGCTGTGTACAGCATCTCAGCCAATCCTGTGCGAGTATGTTCATGCACATATTCTGAACATTGTTTCACAATTACCACAACAAATTGATACGTTGCTACGTTCTTGATCTTCTGGAACTGTTAAATTCTGTTTCACAGAATCATAATAATACAAGAACATTACAGATGCAAAATGCAAAGAAATGTGTTATAACAGGTAAGCTATATGTCTGTAATGGTGAATACAGTCTTCAAAATGCCAATACACATTTACAGCAGCCAAGCTTTATGTGAAAATACAAAAAGCTCAACATAACAGCAAATGAGCCTTCTTGAAAATTCGTTGACGACCAGAAAATTGAAATCCAGGTATTTTCCGAAGCTCCTCTCTCTCTCTCTCTTTTTGTAACCAGCTCCAAACTCTTAATATTTTTCTTGTTTTTAAAAGACAAGAATAAGAGTGCAGAGGTAAATTATATTAAAGGTATAAATTTAATAAAATGTATAAAGATGTAAAGATAATAACATGAATAACTTAAAAACAGACAACGTAACGTTGAATGTGCCGTATATTGTGTTTTATGACCTTCCTAAAAACACTGGAGATGAGTTATTTTGTTGGGTGAAACCATCTTTATATTAGCCAATGAAAAAAATAGTTACTTTCACTTGCAGGATTCAAAAACAACCTAAAATTAGACGTTGACTACCAAACTTACGATACGATTATATTTGGTGAAGCATACCTGTCAGTGGGAAAAAATATGTGGAATTGAATTGCAGATTTGTTTATTTTTTGTTTTTGTTTATGTGAAAGAAACCTCCAAGATCTGTCAGTTCAGACCATAACACCAGCTTCACCGATTATTACTGTACTGTAATATGTACCCAGAGGACCCGGACGCGGGAACTAAAACAAACAACTGTATTTTTTACTTACTTTGACAAAAAGTGACTAGCTTTGTAATATTATTGCATTTAGACTGATGACAGACGCAAACCACAGCTAAGACATTATATGCGCTAACATAAACGAACGCCTTTCAATGCCAGGTACTCCCACACCGTAACATTAACAACAAGCCTGGGCCAAGCTAGCTTTACTTTCTGTTAGCAGATGTGAAAACCAAAATAAGGGAAAACATCTCACCTTTCCTTCCGAATCAAGGGGGTCATTGCAATCTACATCCGCTCCAGAGTTGGAGGTGAGGACTCCTTGGTCCCAGTCGGGATATGGGTTTGAAAAAGAGCGCTCCTCCATCTCTGCGTCTGTACCCGAGATCAGCTTCAGTCGCTTGGACATGTTATCTCCCATCTCTACGGCGGCTCGGCAAGGCCAAATATCTCAGTACGCTGTAGAGCCATTATAGTGGAAATAA